TTGCAGTCACCAATTAAGAGAAAATGTCTGCAATCAAGAAGACACGAAAGAAACAACATAAAATAATATCTATAACTCAACCTTCATGTATTTACATTTTAATTCAAGCAGAAGTTGTTTGTTCTTTAAATAGAAATGCTCTACTGAGGAGAAATGAAACGAAAAAAAAAAAGGGAAAATGATGACTATCTGTTTATTTCTTTGGTATTTCTGCTTATAATGGTAGCAACGTTTGGAATGTTTCTCTTAAAATATATTATATTTCTTCGAAAAAAAAACATTTGTGCTAGAATCTCTTCTTCGGGTGGAAAAGGAAGATTATCGCTACCATGTTAAATTAAATAGATATTGATAAGTTTCCTGTTACATCCTAAGAAGGTATTAAACAGAAATGGATTTTTTTTGTGCAAAGATGTAATATATTTGAAGAGAAATGTCTTGACGATTTCTGCCGTCAAAATCAGAATTCATAAAAATTTAATGAAGCTATTGTGGCTCCCACTTGTGATGGCAGCACTGAATGAATTATTTGTTTTTTTTATGGATAATACATTTCTTCCGATGTCAATGAATTTGAGAAACGGTTGTCGTTATTTTAATAAAACATGTCATCTTGACTTTGATTGGGGTGACTCATTTCTGCTAGAAATTGTACAATCTCCGTATTTGTTAAAGATATATATCTTGATGAACAGGAAATAAAAGAGGTGTCCAGAAATTCAAATGAATTTCCTGGAAATTCAAATAAAGCATCTAATCCAGTCATTGATTTTTTTATTAAATGTGTGTATTTTGGTTGTGATGGTTATATTATTTATTTGTCCTTGTTAAATTAGTATGTTTAACTATGAAAAGCTTCTTACTTACACTAATTTTTATGGAATTACAATGAATATTTGTCTTCTATATCAACGAGAGACACCAATGATGGATTGATAGATGAAGTTAAATAATCCAAATATTGAAGTAATTCTAGAGTACGCAGTTGTAACAGTTAACAATAGCCATTAACACACTTGCTCTGTACTTTTTTGAGTTTTTTTTTCGTTTAAAGATTTATGGTAAAAGTGTTTTTGTTAATAATTTATTAAGTATATTGATTCATTTAGTCATATAAGAGAGTGTGTTAATAAATATTGAAGATTTTCATTTTCTACATTCTTTTGGTCTATCAAAACAAATATATTAAAATATTTGGTTCACTTATATAGAAATAATTCATAAACTACTAAATGAAATGGCAAATGATCGACAATATTGTCCAATTAATAATATCTGATAAGAGTGACAATGAATAAAGAAAAATTTTCCGATAGTTTAATTCGGTTTAGTCCCGTTTCGTAGACAAGTTAAGAATAATTAATTAATTTTTCCTTTTCATCGACACTAGGTTATATCACATTTCATCGACATCTTATTCAAGAATAATTTAAACAGAAAAAAATATTATCTTACAGAAAATGATTGTAACAACAGAAATGAAAAACTAATTCAATAGTTAATAAGGTTATAGGAAAAGAATATTATTTTGATTTTCTACCACTTGCACTTGCACTACTGGTTTTATTGAAATATTTTTCTAATGATCAAGAACCTTTTTCATAAGGTTTCATTCAATCAAGAACTTGTTGATTTTGATACGTAAGTTTTTTATTTCGAAAAGGCTTGATGTTGTTTTCCACTTCCTTGATCGTGAAGAATAGTTAAGTCCACGAATCAAACGCACATTACGGGTCTTTCTACTGATGATAACAATCGTTTATGGTAATGATTCGTAATGTTATCATTGTTTAGTTTATTTCTCCAAAGCAAAGTTACTTTGGTACCATGCTAACATTGTGGAGAAAAAAGTATCGATGAAAAGGCCTAATCAAAGGGGTGTCGATGAAAAGGTCTAATTAAAAGGATGTTGATGAAACGGGAAAATACCTTTAATTCTTAGCATAAGGTATCCTAAGAGTATGAATATCAACAACGCAGAAGTAACTTTTATTGATGAACAAGAGAAAAAAGAAGTAATCAATATGAAAGAAACAAATAATCAGATTGAAAAGCAAAATAATGAAAATAAGAGAGTGATATTTAAAATTTAAACACAATATATATGTTATGTTAAATAGTTGAGAAAATAAAAAGAAGACATTAGATGAGATAGTTCGTATAAATATAGTTTTATTCAGAAAGACTAAATCTTTTTTTCTTGTTTTTTATAACTGCTTTTCTTAATGTTCGTCGAATTTTAACCGATAAACTGCAATGTTGTGAAGAAAGTAATTTCAATGTTTGATTTTGCTCAATTATTTGAATAAGAGTTTCGAATGATTGATCAGTTATCGATTTATTGAATGATATATGTAGTTTTTTCAAAGATGTACAAGATAAAACAGTATCAATGCCACAAAGTACATCGGCTAATAATCGAACACCATGATCTGTTATACCCGTATTTGGTAAAGCAAGAAAAGTAATTGATCGATTTTTTTGTAATAAATTAGTTAAATGTTCAATTCCTTTATCTCCTATATTTGGATTATTTGAAAGGCTGAGATATTTTAATTTAGTTTGCGATGAAATCAATGTATCAACAAGCATTTTAACACCGGTCGATGTCAAAGCATTATCACGTAGGATAAGACCAATACATTTTGATTTATGATTATAAAAAACTCGTTGTATGATTAATATCATATCATCATCAGTTATATTCATCGAAGATAAGCTCATTATACCAAGAATATCCATTTCACGATTGTCTAAAAGCTTTTCTTCCAAAGAAATATCTTTTGACTTTGTATCTTCTGATAAATTAAACTCTTCTTCACCTGCTAGATTGATATCATTTGCTATATGTTCGTTTTTTCGACTACGGACACTATTTTTGTTTTCTTGTAGACTTTCATTACTGTCACTCTTGTCAGTCTAAGAAAATAGTCGAGTCTATTATCGTGCCATTTTCTTATTTACTATTCCATAGAAAAATTCTCACCTAATTTACAAAAGAAGAAAAATTTGATTGATGTTACCTTTAATTTTGAAAGAGACTGCAAGGGTGTGAGTGTGGGTGTGTGGGGTGTGGAGTGTGGGTGTGTGGGGTGTGGAGTGTGGGTGTGTGGGTGTGTCGGGTGTGGGGTGTGGGTGTGGATGTGGGTGTGGGTACAGTGTAAGTAAACGTCTACACCCACACCCACACCCACACGCACACCCACACCCACACCCACACCCCGCACCCACACCCACACACCCACCAGCCACACCCACACCCACACTTGTACCACGAATTTGGTGCTTTGTACAACGAAAATAGTCACTTGTACCTAGTGTTACAGACAGACAGACACAGGTGAGTTTCCGTTTCTAGAATCTAGCCTTTCAGTCTAGGGAACATTGCACTTATAGAAAATCAAATTACAAACATTTGATGCTAGACGATGAGTCCAATAGCCGTCTATTTTAGTACTTTCACAGTAGTTGATTTATTCTTGACTCAAATATTGTAATGGTTGTTCTGATCTTATAAAAATCATAAAATCTTATGACTTTTATTCGCAAAGAGAGAACAACACAATAAACTGTGACATTTCACATCTTAATTTGTTTAGTATTTTTCAAGAAAAATCAAAGAATGTCTCAGAATACTCAGATACTACACTGCAACATGTCTAAGCAAATTCGTTGATATGGGTAAACAAGTCTTTCACAAGCGATACCAAATATATGATTCCGAAATGCATTTGCAGAAGATCACATGTTTATACATGAAGTCTTAAAGTTCTTTCAGTTGTCATCAATAGTTTTCTGATTTTATTCTTGATTAATTTTATCAACTTAATGAAATAGTTTATGCAGAAGAAAAGGTTAAATATTAAAAAACTGAGTGTCCAGCTATACCCGTAACTTTCTGTTACTCCTCGTATTAGTGCCAATAACTTCGCGCTGATTTTTCATCGTGGTTTGATTTTGAAACCATATCTGTTGTGCTGCAATTGAATTTCCGGTATTGGGTCCCTGATTAGTTGGATGTGATCGCCTTTCACCTTGAGAATCACGTTTTCTTTCTTCTAAACTTTTCAAAATAATGAATGCATGTCGTAACAAAATATCATTTGCAATTTTGAATGATTGAATATCGTTTGCTGTGACATCAACAGTCCAAAAATCAGAGCGGGCAGTAAATTGTTGTAATGGTACATCGAAGCTTAAGTTAGTATTCATTGAGACTCGTAGTAGAAGTCTTTTCAGCGTATTAATCCAGCAATCTAAGTTTTTCAGGCACGGCGCTATCGTTATGTTTCCAGATGTCGCCTGAATAAACTGATCGATAAGATAAGTTTCATCGTCAACTGAAATTAATAATGGTCCCCGTGAATCTTGTTCAATATGATTTCGTAAAATTTTTTCGAATGCAATCTCTTCTAATAATTGATAGAAGTCAACAATATATCTTAGTTCAATAGTCGAAGAATTCGAGTCTTGACATAATTTATCACAAAGACCCATTTTAGAACGAATATGCTGTTCAATAAATGTCTTAACCGTAAGACTATGCATAGATTTGTGTTCGCAGTGTCGTAAATATGTAAAAATCTGATCGAGTGAACCAATGTAGTGAAGAATATCATCATTTGAAATACTATCAATTAATTTTTGCAATTCACTTCGTTTCTTCTCAGGCAATAACTTTTGTTCACTATTTCTACGAATATCACTAATTAATGAAGCGTTTTCTTCATACAGTTCGAATTGATAACTCATATAATGTATTTTATCAGTATCAATCAATGGCAAACAACTTATTTTTTCACGAACCATGAATTCGATTTCCTCAAAATCATAAATTATATCTTTACCCTTTCCATATTCATAGTTGACTACTGATGCATCATTCATCAGTTTTCTACTAATCATATCGTTGTCCAAACATAGAAGGTGTTTTGGTTGAAGAGATTGTAATGGGACAGTCTGTGGTTGAACTCTTTTATCTGCTGAATTGGAATTCATAATATTATAAAACTGTTGAACAATATTATTTTGTAAATCACTAATCGTTTTGATACAAGCAATTAATAAAAGACTATTTGGATCTCTTGGCGAATTTATGAATAATTTAGCTATTTCTGTTTTTTGTCTAAATTCTTCTGACGGATACTTATGTTCGAACTTGATTGGTTGAGAATCTAAATAAACCTCTTTAAAGCTGAGTTGATACCATGCTTCAATGAAGTCATTGTATAACTTTAATGCTATCATTTTGTCCGAATCTTTAAATAAAACTTCATTGATCGTTTTCCTCTCTGCATTTTTACGTGTGATTCGATAGTTGAACTTCTGATGCAAATAGTTAACGAATGTAATGATTGGATGTAGATACCGAATATTTGCATGATCATTAGATCGATCAAGAAAGAGCATCGTCATTGGATATATCTTGTCAGCATTAGGCATTATTTGAAGTTTAGCATAAAACGAATCTATTGGGTTAAATGTATGATTGCTGATCACACTAAAGAAACTCAATAGTGGATACTTATTTTCATCAACAGCAAGTTCATCGATTAACTCGTACAATGTCAAATGGTTATTGTCTCCCTTCAAATAGTTGTTATAGGCTAATTTATATTTCTGGATCTCGTCTACTGTTGATCCAATATGAGGAATAATTAATTTATTTTCAATACATTTTTCAAATTCAATAACTCTTTCATTATTATTTAGAAAATCATCTTGCTGAAAATCACGATTGATCAAGTGATTGATCAATTTGTACAACCATATATAACACTGATTGGGATCAGGTGATAATTGGCATATCAACTCGTAATCCTTTTCGAAATGATCTCTGCAACAATTACGATTTGGTTGATATAAATTATCAAGCAGATTGAGTTCGTGTAAGACAAGAAGAATAGCATGAGTCATCATATGAATGAAACGATATGATATAGATAATTTCAGATGATCTGGTTTTTCATCGATATTACTCTTTTGTGTAGATTTCATAATGTAGTAACCAAATCTGGAGATGTTATGCTTTTGGTCTGTATTTTGATCATCAGATGTGAAATCTGATGAAAATACAGGTTCAAAATGATCTTCGTACCTTTGTGACATTTTTCGATCTGTGTCAAACAAGATGCTGCTGAGTAAAGAAATATTTTGAGAATTTCTGGACGAAAGAAGCACGGCAACAATGCTGAGTGCAAGCAAACGTCGATGTAGTTCATTTTTAGTCATTGCTTCATTCAATTGAAAATAAGAATTATCATGAAAGTTTTTACACAATGAAAATAATAATTTGTAGCCGATTGGTTCAAAACATTCCGTCAGTGCTACTTTTAAACTTTCTATATCTTTTTCGAATTTAGTATTTGTTGCAGCATTTCTGTGAAACTTGGCATATTGCTGTACAAAAACCATGATAAAACAGTATGACATTTGTTGATTTTTCGAACAATTATCAATGAGAACTTGCCATTGTTTATTTGCTATATTAACTTTCAGTGTATTATTAATATTTATATATTCTTCTCTAGCTTCAAATAGAGGTGTTGGAAGAATAATATTTTGACCAGAGTTTCGCTGTTGTTGATATTTATAATGTGAAAAGACTGTCTTAATCCAAACGCAAGTACGATCGAAAAAAATCTCGTATAATCCTTCAATATCTACACAATAAATTTGACATAAATTTTTCATTATAAATATTTTTAGAGTTGAACAAAATCCTGATTCAGTATTTGCTAAGAGTTTATTAATACTGCTCATAATCGCGTCGTGGCTATCTCTTCTTAATGCAAGTGCATATACTCGAAGATAAACCTTGAGCCATGCGGTTAACACGATTATTGAAAGGCCAGGACCATCTGGTTGAGCAAGGATATTCCTTTGGAAACAATCATAATATTTATTTAGATAATGTTCAATTATAATTTTATCTCTTTCTTTGATATTTTCGTTGTTTTCGAATACAATTTCGTTCCCAACGCAAGTTAAAAGATGAGAATTTATGCGATTGATCATGATTCGTTGAATTTTTTTTGTTTCATCATTTGATTGTGAAAAATATTCATCAAGTTTTTTAAGTTCCTCTATTGATGATATTTCATTGATTCGTGATTGAACAATTGACATTAGATCAAGTTTTTGATCGATATATTTAAATATTTTGGCAGCATAAAACCAGAAGTTTCTATTCGATTTGCAGACAAAATCAAGCACAGTACAGTACTCGTCACCATGATCGATTAGCCAATTTTTTAGGAACTCGACTTCAAGTTTCAGTATTGGTCGACAAGTAGACGAATCAATTGGAACCTGAAGACTAGAATTTATCCTTTTAGTTAGAATTCTCATAAATTTACTGATGTCAATGCATTTTGGAAAGCTACCATTAAACGCAGTTTTGTTATGAGAATTGAGGCAAATATCTTTGAAAACAACTAGAGCCTTGTCATTAGAAAGTAGATCCATAACACAACGTATAAGACTCTCAAATGAACGTAATTTTTCTAAATTATATATTTCATAGTTGTTGAAAGCGAGTATACTTTGGTCAGTGAAACTATACGCAGTAGATAATTGTACAATACTATCAGCATCTTTAATAGTTGATGGTGAGACAAGTAATTCGATTAAGTTCATTAAACTGGTTTCGATCAATGGATCACTATTACACTCATAAATTCTATCGCAATCAAATGATTCGTGTGGCGAAACTTGATAGAACTGTTGTCCTATTTGAATAAGAACATACAGATTTGTTGAGTTATTGAATTTCACCTCCTCTGTTTCATTAAAAATAAGAAATTGTTCATCAAATTTCCATTTATCTTCTCCAATAATTTCTAAGCCGATCTCAAATAAATTTAATAATCTAATTAATTCATCCCGATCAAGAAGAAAGTATTTCATTTTATTTTCGACAGTTAAAGTTGGATTTATTGTTAATAATTTTTGTGCGAATGACAGAGATAAATAATTAATACCTAATTCATCCAAAAGTATTGCAATCTGGTCGTGAAAATAATGTTCAAACAAGTTTGTATCATCGAGAATATTCTGAATATTCTTTCCATAAACACTTGTATTTCGTAATTTTTCCATAGCCAAAGCTAATAACCTATCTTCAGATAAATTAACATTTAGATTTTCGTCATCATTTTTAATCATTTCATATATTTGACGAATGATCTGATGTTCTAATCGTGCACAAGGTAGTCGAAGATCAAATATAAGTGAAATTTCAACTGTATCCATAATTGTAATCGTTCTTGGAATCGATTGAAATACTGATCGTAAACAATCAAACCAAATACACCTCAAACTTTTATACATGTTTTCATTTCTTTTTGAAATGAGAAAGTGGCAGGAATCGAATAATGACGATTTTTCAGCTTCAACTAAAAACGCCAAGAAATAATTGCAATAAAAGAGTAAAACAGTCATTTGCAAAGCACTATTGATTGATCGGCAAGAACCGACAATTGTTGGATTGTTCAATAGATCTTGTCGCCAATCTTTGGATTCTGAACGTACATAATCCAAATCAGCTGCTTTTATTAGTTCTATTAGATGAGTTTTAACGACTTCATTGAGAGATTCAGTATCAACACTACCCAGGGTCAACAAGTCAAATATGGAATCACGTCGTTGATTGATTAAACCTTCTTTATTTTTGCATCTTACTGTATAACGAACTCGTACAAAAGATTGAGTGACAAGTTCATTAAACATTGTATGTGATAAAGAAAAATCTGCGTGATCTAGAAGATTACGATACGATGGATTTGTTAGAACATCAATTTGCATAAGTTCCTTTTGATTAAGATTGTCAATCATAACAGGACACCAACCGTTAAATAAGATATCATCTTGTATCTTATCCATAAGATTTCTCTGCAAATGAAGTACCAACCATACGCCATGATCACTCGATTCTATGCTTCCATTCTGTATCAAATGTTTAAGAAAAAGTAAATGTTT